ACCATTCCCAGCTCATAATTTTTTTTTTTTAATTTTGGGGATCAACTAAAACTTTTGATGTCACCTAAAATAGAAAATGGGGGGAAATGTGAATCAAACAAATAAAAGAAGAAAGTATCCCAAATTTCAAACCAAAAATGTGGAAATTCAGTTTGAAAGGTATTGTGGAATATTACCTTAACTACGTAAAGGTGTGTTACATTTGCTTATGCTGCATTTGCTGAATTATGTAAAGATATGTTGCTTTGCCTGCCTAAGGCACCTGATTGGTCTAATAAAAAGCCGAACAGCCAATAGCCAGGCAGTAGAGGGATAAGGCAGGGCTGGCAGGCAGAGAGAATAAGGAAGAGGAGGAATCTAGGGTCAGGAGAAGAGAGAATGAGGGAGAAAAAGAGAAAGATACGCAGGGCCAGCCAGGCAGCCTCCAGCCAGACACAAGAAGCAGGAAAAGTAGGACATACAGAAGGAAAGAAAGATAAAAGGCCCCGAGGCAAAATGTAGATGAAGAGAAACAGATTAAATTAAGTTATAAGAGCTGGTGGGACAAGCATAAGATAAGACCGAGCATTCATAACTAATAATAAGTCTCTGTGTCATGATTTGGGAACTGGTTTGTGGCTCAAAAAAAAAAAGTCTGCTACAGAAAGGGCCCAGCAAAGGCCAACCAGGATGTTTGTGCAATTAACATATAACTTTATTATGATGCAACATCAGGCTCTATAATAAAGATGACCTCCCCCAAAAAAAATCAAGCGAGAAAAGGAAAGTCCTAAATAAAATCACAAAGGTGTAAGAATAAGAATCGGTATCAAGTCTCTGAAAAAGAGAAAGTGCAAAAAGAAATGGAAAAAAAACTTGCAATGTTTAGAGGAACCTTGTATTATGAAAATAAAAGACTTCTTCAGGAGGCTTATCACCCACAGAAGCACTCTGAAACAAAGAAAGGGAGTCATCCGCAGAAGAAAATGAACCCACGAGACCCAATGAGAAGCAAAACGCTACATGAGCAAAACTTTGTTCAAACTTCAGTATAAGACAAGATTGTACGAAATAGACAGCAACGTGGGGGAGGAAAGGGAAGCAAGGAAACATAAAATGGACACGCCACTTCAGATTACAAGTTATTCAGGTTCAGGATGTTCTCATCAGTTGACACAAATACTTCTGTCTCTTCAATAAGTAGGAGAGGAACTTGGTACGGAGGGATACACAGACGTGAACTTCCGGAGTTGGAATCTTGCCTCTACCACTTTCCAGGGCTATACCCCTGGGTGCATTTAATCACTTTATGCCCCCCCCCCGATGTATACAGTGGGCAGGACACCAGTGCCTGCTGCGTGTAGTTGTTATGAGCCTTGAGCTGTACTGTGCCTAAGCATGTGGTGCTGCATAGAGCTGGTGTATGGATAATAAGATTAGCAAGAGTTTACTTCTTGGGGAAGGGGTTGTGATTACTTAAGGAAAAAGAAGGCAACAGAAAAGCTATAAAACAAAGCTAAAGAAGCCTCAAGAGAGCATGTGAGATGGCTTATGAGGTAAAGGTACCTGCTGCCAGGCCTGATAACCTGAGTTCAGTCCCTGGAACCCACATGGTGGAAAGAGAAAACTCACTCCAAGTTGTCTTCTGACAATCACATGTGCACTGTGGCATGGAGACACACAGACACACACACAGAGAGACACACACAGAGAGACACACACACACTCAACAAAATGAAATTTCAAAAACTTTTAAAAGACATAGTGAGTTCCAGGCCAACCAGGGCATACAATGAGACTTGATCTCAAAAAAAAAAAAAAAAAAATTAAGAAAACTCATGAATATAAAATAGTGACATTCCATCCCAATGCACATGGACATGACACCATTCGTAGGCAGAAACTTTTCTCCCTCCTTCCTTCCCTTCCTCCCTCTTCCTCCCTCACTAGGTATGTGTGTGTTCACTCGTAGAAATATGTGACGGGGTAGCCAAAGCACCTTGCTTCCTCTGTGGAAGGAACTGGTAACAATGCTCAGTTGACTTTCATCTTCACCTTTCGTACTGATTGAGAATTTATCAATATATTATGAGAATTTGGGGGAGCTGGCATGAAATAGCAGGAAGCAATGGAAAGAGACTGAGGCCCTCTGCTATCCGGGAGTCGGGAAAGAGACCCAGAAGAGACCTCAGAGCCATGTCTTGAAGGAGGTGGTACTTCAGGCCAGAAGACGTGCAGGAGACATGGGGGGCTTGAGAAACAGATGTGACCGCAGAATGACCCGGATTTGTATCCATGAAATTTGGAGGACTGTGGTTGGGTGCTCTCTTAGTTTGTCCCTGCTGCTCAAACAAAATGCCTTGTATAGGGCTGCTTTTGAAATGCCAGAGGTTGGACTGGGGATGTCGCTGAGGGGTAGCAGACATCCAGCACATGAAAAGTTCCAGCATCACAATTCCAGAGGCTGGAAAGTACAAGTCCCTGGCACCGATGGACTCTACCCAGTGAGGGCAGACACTCGGCTGCACCCCATCTTCCTGTGGTTGAAGGGAGTCTGTAAACTTGTTCCCTCACACACGGTTATGGGGCCACTAATCACTTCCATGAGGGCTCAGCCTAACCTAAGGTGGGGGGGAGGGGTCTCCATAACCTGATCATCTCTCATCTCTTTTGGTGGTTTATTCGATTTTGTATTATTATTATTATTATTTATTTATTTATTTATTTATTTATTTATTTATTTATTTATTTATTTTGGTGGCCCTTACCTACAATGTCAGCATAGGAGACTGAGGCAGGAGAATCTTCGGTTTAAGCCAGCTTGGACTACACAGTGAGATCCTGTCCAGAAAAAAAAAGGGGGCGGGCAAGGTGGCAGAGGAGATGGCTTAACAGATGAAGTGTTTGCTGTACGATCATGAGGACCTGACTCTGGAAGCCCAGCATCCATGCAAAAGGCCGGTGTGGTGGCTAACATCTACAATCTCAGCATTAGGGGGCAGGGACAGGTGGATCCTGTGTTCATGTGTGTATGACAGAGAAAGGGGGAAAATTCAGAATGAATGACTGGCTCTTTAAAATGAATACATTTGCCATTGTGGAAGATCATTTGTTTAATTGCGCTCTTTGTTTTCCTTGCTTTGTCTTGGACATGTAAAAACTTTTACTTATAATAGCCATCTGACAGCTGGCCTAGTGGAGGGTCCTGTAGCCCTGAGTAGAGTGTCCCCTCCTCAGAGCTCTTCTACCTCTATGTGACAGGGGCTGTCTAGATGTACAGTGACCTGGAAGGTCCCAGCAGGAAGACTAAGGAGTTGAAGGGTCTTCCAAGTTCCCAGGGAAAGTCCTTGGTGTTGGGACAGGGAAGCCTGGCCAGGAATCAGGCAGGGAACAAAAGGATATAGGCAGCCTTGAGAAAACGCCCCCAGATCCTACTGGCTAAACCTGTGCAGCGCAGTCCCCGATCCCTGGCCTGAGTAGGGACCGTGGACCCCCGAGCACAAAGCAGTTCTAACGCTCGTGGACGTAAAGGTACTGGAGGAGTCAACTGTGGACACAGCCCCGTCCACTCTGCACCTTCAGAGAAGCGGCAGCCCCCTAGGGTGAGCAAACTGAGCCTGGGGCTTGTGTGGGGAGCCTGTACTGGGGGCCCTGGGCTCCCAGGAACAGAAACTCCTCCTTCGGGTTCATTTAGGCAGGGAGTGGGGGAGGGGTGTTGATATGACTCTGACTTCTGGGATTCTTTACCGTTTGCTGGAGCAGGCACTTACCCACCCTCAACTGAGCTGCCAGAAGGAAGCTTCTGACCAGCCAGTGACAAAAACACTCTGCAGTCCTCCAGTCAGGATCCCAAAGTGCTCTCAAGTCCCATGCTGATAGAGTGAACATCCCAGGCCACCCTTACACACATACCATACTGCTGCGATAGATAGGGCTAATCAGCTGGGAGCCAGTGCCCTGGGATAATGAAGTGTGAAAAAAAATCCAGAGAAGGAAGTTCCTAATGCCCCGTTTTGGAGGCAGAATGGATTGATAGGAAACAAATGAGAAAAGAAATGTCCTGCTTTTCCCAGTGTACACACGAAGTGTGTGGGCCAGTTCACCAAAAAGCACCCGTTTTCCCAACCATGGGCTATCATTTCATCTTCTTTCTGACGTCATCTATTAAGTGTTGTGTAAAGATACAGAGGAAGCATCAAGGGACCCAGGGGTCTCAGGAGCCCGAGTCCCAGGTCAATGAGGCCTCATAGAGCTTATCTCAAGAGGCAAGGATGGAAGCCAGGCATGGTGACCTGCAATCCCTAGCACCTGGGAAACTGAGGCAATACGATTGCCTTAAGTTCAAGACCAGCCTGGGCTATAGGATGAGATCTTGTCTCAAAAAAAGGGTGGGAGTAGTTAGGGAATGGAAGAAAGACCCGGAAGCAGATTCTTAGCAATCCCGTGACCCTCAGCCAACTGCAATTCTTGGAACTTCATTCTGGACATCAGACTTCCATATGACACTGTTTCTCCCCTTGAGAGTTTCTTTGTCGCTGTCCGTTCATATATTTGCTCCTTTTTTCCCACCTAAGCTCCCAAGAGGCATCACGATCTGACCCTCTCTGGACAACTGTCTCGGTGGAGCTGCAAAGGCCACACTCTCTGGCTAGGCTATGAATCGCTTGACCTTGAGTTATACACCAGTGAGCTAGAACAGAGAACAGCCGCATGTAACGGGGGCTATGACAGCCTTGGATGAAGCCACTGTGAGAATAACAGTTCCTTTTAGCTGTGGCAAGACCGGCAGACTGTGTGACATACCAAGTTCATCTTGAAAGGGGACAGTTCTGTCCCTAGAGTGGGTGTCCAAAGAGCTTTGGGACATTTGGCAGCTTCCCAACAAATTCACACCTAATTTTACCTCTTATTAGATGATAGATCTCAAAGCCAAACGTAGCTGAGTAATCTGAAATCCCATCATGCCGTTCTCTCTGACCCCAGACTTCCCCAACCCCATATCAAAGAAAGCTGAAAATGCGTGCCAAGTCACACACTCTTCTTTATTTATTGTTATCCTCAAGAGCAGGATGGAATAGGGTATGGGGCCCTCAGACAGAAAAGTGTAGGGAAGAGGACACGGAAACTGTCTGTTTTCCACACCCTGGTTTCCTCCTAGCTGATGACGGCGGCCATCGGCTGTGGGATGGATGAGGAAACAAGATGCTTTCAGATACACGCACAGTGTTGTGTAATAAGGTTGGGTACCATCTCATACTTGAAAGAGTAACCTCCATCTGAGGTGGTTCGGACACGAAGGGACCTCATGCTCCCTGGCAGAGCGGCACAGCAGGGCTTGGCCCCTGGCACCAGAAACAGGGGCTGAGCAGGGGTAGGGGGAACCCCAGGGACTGGCGGCAGGGGCAGGTCAGATGTGGGCACCCCACAGCTACCATGGCAATAGTGGAAGATAAAACTAGGAGGGTGCACAATCCAGCGGTCCCAGCCCAGCTCCTGGAAGGAGATGTTGAGCGCAGCTCGATGGCAGTGGGCATGCGCAGCGGGTTCCTCGGGAGGCCTCTGCAGCAGACGCAAAGCGGCAGGAGACCAAGGCCAGGGCATCGAGGGAGTCGAACGGCGGGCCCTCTCCCCCGCACTGGGTGGTCTAGCCCTAGTGTGGGCCACCAGGAAAGGCGTGGTCTCGGGCCGGGCTGAGCAGGAACAGAGTGGGCATCGAAGCAGCAAGACAAGGATGGGGTGGGTCAGCAGAGGGAGAGCAGAGACCTCCAGGTGCAGTACAGCCCAGCGAGGAGGGCCCTGTCCCAAGGTCACAGGCACAGCTGTGGGCCCCCCAGATGACAGCACCAGCAGGTCTAGAAGGGGCGCAGAACCATTGGAGGTCACTGTGTTCTTCCTGTCTAGCCCCGTGTGGAACCACAGCTGGGCTGAAGTCACCTGGTGGCTGCGCATGTGTTGGGATGGCCGGAACACATAAGTGAAGAGGCCTTCTTCAGCCTCCTGGGCAAGCCCTCCGGCAGCTGGCTGGTCCTCACAGGTGGCACCTGCAGGGGACAGAAGGGGAAAGAGAGGGCAACCTTGATCTGTAGGACTGGAACCACCTCCACATCCACGAGAAGAACGTGGAGGACATCCCTCAATGCTGACTATTGTCTCCAACATGGCTGAGTGCCTAGACCCAGACACTCTCTGGAGTCTTGGGGAAAGCAACAGAGGCTCCCCAATTTTCTATTCATCATCAAAACAAGACATTGGCAATCTCTCTTCTAAGCGGTTTTACCAATTAATACAAACAGCCACGTGTAAGGGTCCATTTCACTCTCTCCACTCCACCCTCAGGGACACCGGTAAGGCTCAGGTTAGTGCTCATCAGATTCACATAGTGATTATCTTGGCTGTTGTGTATATGGATCTGCGTTAGGTTGCTTTTGATATATCTCGGCATGTCAGAAACTTAATATGATAATTTCCCTAATATAACTGTATTTTTAAGAACAGGTTGCAGGGCAGGGAGACACCTCATTTGATAAAATGCTTGTTGCATTAGGACCAAATTTCAATCCCCAGCACCCACACAGAAAGCTGGATGCATTCCTGTAATCCCTCTCAGTACTGAGAAGAGAGAGAGAGAGAGAGAGAGAGAGAGAGAGAGAGAGAGAGAGACTTGGGGAATGCCGGCCAGTCAGTCTCACCGGTGAGCTCCCGGCTCTGTGACAGACTGTCTCAAACACCTGGGCGGAAAGTGGCCGAGGAAGACGTTCGGTGCCAACTTCTGACCTCCACACACTTACGTGCATATGCATCATCAGACAAGAAGAACAGCATGCAAAAGTGGAGGAGGAGCGGGGAAGGAAAAGAGGAAGAATGGAATGGACAGGAGAATAAAACAGAGGTCAAGCCTTCCCAAGGAAGTGCAGCTGGCATCCCGTCCCAAAATACATCCAGACTACAGTAAACATTGTATGGGCCAACTGTCGTCCAAAGACCGGCAGACGGGGCCGCACTAGTACACAGCCTCTCTCATCATAAATTCTCACCGTTGATCCAGTTTTCAGACAAGACACTGAGGCCAGAGATATGAAGCGGCTGCCAGTCAGCTCTTAAGTGGCCAGGCTGGGATTCCACTTGATCTGAAATCCATACTTTCCCCAGGGACCAAAGGGAGGGAAGCGAGGGGAAGGACAGTGGTCCAGATGAGACGGGAGCCCAGCGGAGGAGGGCTTTCCTCTTCCAGTCATTGGGATATGGGCAACATACAGGGATGAGAGAGAGACTCCTGGGAACACAGCTAAGCATTCTGCTGCACCCGGGACCCTCTCAAGTCCCAGCTGCCTGGAGCTAATGAAACGGGGTGTGTGTGTGTGTGTGTGTGTGTGTGTGTGTGTGTGTGTGTGTGTGTTGAGTGTGTTGAAGGGCAGACAGCAGACAGGAGCCTGAGCTCTGTCTTCATAGAGTCTTAGCTTCCCTAATATTCCAGTTGCGTGAGGCCCCGGGGATTGATTGCTCCAGCCTGAGTGGAGGCTGTCACCTATTTGGTGATGACCAGGGAGGCTTAGGAACTGTCCCACGGCTACAAAGCCTGCTGAGCAGTGGGGCTGCCATTCACATCCAGACCTGCCCGGCTCCCCAGCCCACGAGACGGGCACCGACTACTTTTCAAAGTTGACCTTTCAGTCAGTCCCCAACTTCATTACCTGTGGCTGGGAAAAGGATGACCTGGGAGACATCCTCCTCCTCTGGTTCAGAGGTCCTGTGCATGAAGCCCCCCAGGGCATGTCTCCGGGGCAGCCGCCTTATTTCGGGACTCCCACCTTCCCCGGCTGTGGCTGGGGGCCCCAAGGCATCTAGGATCAGGGCCTTCACCTTGGCCAGGACAAGCTCCCGCACCAGTTCTGGTCCCTGGCAGCTGTCCCCATCCTGTAGGGTCAACAGCAGAAGCAGCAGCAGGGACGGCTGGATCACCATAGTTCACTTGGCCCTGACAACGGGGAACCCACACCCTGTCCCGTGGCCCTTCTGTCCAGGACCTCCCCCCTGTCCCCTCCCCATCCCACTGCCTGCCTTCTTCTACCCTTCTGGACCCAGTCTCCCCCAGTCCTTCCCACGGCCTACAGTCCCAGTTGCCCCTGCCCATGGCATTGAGACCTCCTATCTCTGACGCAGATGTCTGTGGCCCTGAGCCTTATCTCCCACTCCCGCCAAGAATGTGGGGGAAGGGGCTGTGGAGGGCGTTCACCCCAAGTGACCTGACCCATTCATGCAAGCATACAACCCATCCTCCCCCCCCCCCCCCCCCCCCCCCCCCCCCCCCCCCCCCCCCCCCCCCCCCCCCCCCCCCCCCCCCCACACACACACACCAAGAGTCGACATCAGGTACCACAGGTGCCTGGGTGCTAAGGTTGGCCAGTCATGAGTTCCTAAAATGTGTCGTTTGTCAGGAAGACGGAATGCACCAACCCCCTCCGACTTTCTGGGGCTCCTTTCAACCCCAGCAGCTGTTCGGGCCAACGTGGGAGGGAAGACCTGGGGCTGGGGCTCTGGGCCGAGGGCAGGTGGTCCCGCCTGCTCTATACTTAGCCTGGAGGAGCCAGTCTGGGCTCTTGTCCTCCAGCTGTGTCATCAGAGAATATTTTTGGGATTGGCAGCTGCAGGCGCCTCTGCCACTCAGGCCCAAGCCTGGCCGGCAGTTGGGGACCTGGCGGCTGGAGGTGGGAGGGAGGAGGGGGAAGAGGCCCAGGCTTGTGGGAGGGGGCTGGGAAGAGAGGCTCCCGGGAGCAGGAAGCCAGGCCGCGGGCAGACTAGGCTGCAGGGCCCCTCGCTGCACAAGCAAACAGGAAGGACTGCCCCCTGAGCTCTGGGCTCTGGGCCCGGGAATCGCCGCGCAGCAGGGCTGCAGGTCGGGTCGAGGGGAAGGAGGCGAGCCGACACCGGAGGGCACCGGAGTTCCACGGGTCCCCGCGCCTGCTCCGCCACGCTCCGGTCTCGGCTCCCGGCCTTCCCGCGCGCCCAGGCAGGCCATCTGCAGCGGCCGCGATGAAGGCCGGATCAGGGGATCAGGGGAGCCCCCCGTGTTTCCTGCGCTTCCCGCGGCCCGTGCGGGTGGTAAGTGGCGCCGAGGCCGAGCTCAAATGCGTGGTCCTGGGGGAGCCGCCGCCCACCGTCTTGTGGGAGAAAGGCGGGCAGCAGCTAGTGGCCTCCGATCGCCTGAGCTTCCCGGAGGACGGCGCCGAGCACAGCCTGCTGCTGAGCGGCGCGCTGCCCACCGACGCCGGGGTCTACGTGTGCCGCGCCCGCAACGCGGCAGGAGAGGCCTACGCGGCGGCCGCGGTGACCGTCCTGGAGCCCCCCGCTCCAGAGCCCGAGCCCCAGTCCTCTGATTGCCCGCTGCAGCCTCCGGGCACCGGGGAGAGCGCCCCGGTGTTCCTAACGGGGCCCCAGTCCCAGTGGGTGTTGCGCGGGGCGGAGGTGGTGCTGACGTGCCAGGTGGGAGGCCTCCCGGAGCCCAAGCTGTACTGGGAGAAGGATGGGATGGCCTTGGACGAAGTGTGGGACAGCAGCCACTTCGCGCTGGAGCCGGGCCGCGGCGCCGATGGCCAGGGTGCGAGCCTGACGCTGCGCATCCAGGCTGCGCGGCTGCCCGATTCCGGGGTGTACGTGTGCCACGCCCGCAACGCGCACGGCCACGCACAGGCCGGCGCACTACTCCAGGTGCACCAGCCCCACGAGAGCCCGCCCGAGGACCCGGATGAGGCCCCGGTATCCGTGGTGGAGCCTCTCAAGTGTGCACCCAAGACCTTCTGGGTGAACGAGGGCAAGCATGCCAAGTTCCGCTGCTATGTGATGGGCAAGCCGGAGCCCGAGATCGAATGGCACTGGGAGGGCCGCCCTCTGCTCCCCGACCGCCGCCGCCTCATGTACCGCGACCGCGACGGTGGCTTCGTACTTAAGGTGCTCTACTGCCAAGCCAAAGATCGTGGGCTCTACGTGTGCGCGGCGCGCAACTCGGCGGGCCAGACGCTCAGCGCCGTCCAGCTGCACGTGAAAGGTAGAGCACCGGGTCTCTAATGTCCTCGGAGATCCTCCTTGCTCATGTCCACCTCCGTGTCCTGGGGAAATACTGAATTCCCATTTCCTGCCTGCCTCCCACCCTCAGGGATGCGGATTTAGACGTCTCCAAGACACTTGAGACATTCTTAGCAAACTACCCAGGCAGATGTTGAAAAATCACTAAAACCACTAAATTTAGGAATAGATGACTTGTGTAAAACTTTCAAGTCCCACACTCTCATCCTCTGCTCTTTTAGGCCTCCTTTCCCAACTGGATTCCCATCGGCAGGCAGCCCTGTCTGTAAGATAAAAGGAGCATTTTATGAGTGTAAATAACTAAGTCTAAATTTGTAACATGCTAATCAGGGAGAACAAGGGGGATGCTGTATTGAAAACACACATTTGGAGTGGAGGCTGTGTTCACAGCTTCAGGCCCGGAATCTGTTGGGAAGGCCCGTGCAAACCTCCCTGGGGCAACTGCTCATTCACAGGGGAGATAAGTTTGCTAGAGGAAAAGTACCCGGCAGTCTCTATTCTTTCATTAATCTGCTGTTTAAGTTTGAAAGAAGATGAGCGTAAAAGGGGGCGGGGGGAACAAAACAAAAACAAAAAAGAAATTTCCTAACGTGTTCTCAGGACTCATGAACAGAAAATCCAGAGAAAACAAAACACACCCGGAAGTCACACTGAAGCTAATGTCCTCCTTGACAGGACTTGGTCACAACCTGAGCGATTCCACTTATGCTTTCTCCTTCCAAGGAAAACATGTCGGGAAGTTCCCTGGGGTCCTGCCTGGCACTTCACCAAGTGTGTGGTACCTGCAGTGTCCTCATGGGCACAACTCAATGTGCCCAAACTTGCCAGGCCAGTGCGACACTGGGCCGTCCTCAAGAAGTTCCCTCAAGGCAACTTCTCCAAGTGGCACAAAAACCTGTTTCCCCAGCTCAAGTTAGCTCCCTGTTTCTGAATTACGGTTTCGAAATGCTTGGGGTGCTATTAAAGCAAACTTCAATGCAGACCCTGGCAGAGTTAGGGAAAAGTTGTAGAGTTGGGGAACAGTTTGAAAAAATCACGACCCCGGTCCAGCTCTTACCCTCCCTCTCCCCATTTAACACACAAGCAAACTGATGTGTTCAAAGTGATATGGCTGGTGAGCATCACGGTCAGGCTGGAAATTAGGCCGTTTGACTCTGCTGGGAATTTGGCTGTCATCCCCAGCCTTGTGGGAGGAGCAGATAATGTCTGGTACCAGCAGACCCCCTCAGCTGGTTCTTCTGAGCCTTCTCTCACTCTCCTCTTTTCTGCAGAACCCCGCCTCCGATTCACAAGGCCCCTCCAGGATGTGGAGGGCCGAGAGCATGGGATTGCGGTGCTGGAGTGTAAAGTACCCAACTCTCGAATCCCCACCGCCTGGTTCCGAGAGGACCAACGACTCCTACCCTGCCGCAAGTATGAGCAGATTGAGGAGGGCACCGTGAGACGCCTCATCATCCACAGACTGAAGGCGGATGATGACGGCGTCTATCTGTGCGAGATGCGGGGTCGAGTGCGCACTGTGGCCAACGTGACGGTCAAAGGTCAGCTGGCCAGTGGGAGGAGGCTGAGGCGGAGGTGGTGTCTGGATCCTGGGCTGATGGATTCCCATCCGCCTCTCAGGACCCATCCTGAAGCGCTTACCCCGGAAGCTTGACGTCCTGGAGGGAGAGAATGCAGTGTTGCTGGTGGAGACCAGAGAAGCTGGGGTCCAGGGGTCCTGGAGCCATGATGGGGAGGAGCTACCAGCCACCTGCCAGAGCAGTTGTGGTCACATGCATGCGCTGGTCCTTCCAGGGGTGACCCGAGAAGATGCTGGCGAGATCACCTTCAGCCTGGGCAACTCCCGTACCACCACCCTGCTCAGGGTCAAATGTGAGAGCATGAAGCCCTATAAACAGGAGGGGCAGGGCGGGAGGGTAGCCAGTTGCTGGCTCCTGGGTTGGCCAAGTGGATTTAAAGCAGAAGTGTTGCTGGGGGCTTGTGCAAGGCTCAGGTGGAAGTCTCGTCTGTGTCTCAGGTGTCAAGCACAGCCCTCCTGGGCCCCCCGTTTTGGTTGAGATGTTCAAAGGCCAAAAGAACACGGTCCTGCTGACCTGGAAGGCCCCCGAGCCAGCCCCAGAGACCTCCTTCATCTACCGCCTCGAGCGGCAGGAGGTCGGCTCTGAAGATTGGGTCCAGTGCTTCAGCATTGAGAAAGCCGGAGCTGTAGAGGTGCCGGGGGACTGTGTGCCTTCCGAGGGCGACTACCGCTTCCGCATCTGCACCGTCAGTGAACACGGCCGCAGTTCCCATGTCGTGTTCAACGGTTCTGCTCACCTCGGTGAGTTAAGCCTTTGCCCTTCTCCGACTCTTAGTCCTTAATGGTGTTCTTCCGCCCACCAGCGCCTGCCCCGCCTTGCCCTTGCTGGTTCTAACGGCCATGCCCTGTCTCTGTCCCAGTGCCCACGGCTCGCCTGGTGTCAGGCCTGGAGGACGTGCAGGTGTATGATGGGGAGGATGCCGTCTTCTCCCTTGATCTGTCCACCATCATCCAGGGCACTTGGTTCCTTAATGGGGAACAGCTCAAGAGTGATGAGCCCGAAGGCCAGGTGGAGCCCGGAGCCCT